AATCGTGGAATAACAGTACGTCGTTTCACCGTACGAACGGCGCATTGATATACGGACCAGCGGCGCGCAATTCTACTGGCCAGAAGCACCCCTTCACCGTACGAGCGGCGGGCGATCGTTAAGGCACCCGTATGAGCGGTGCGCCATTGCCGTACCAGCGGCGGAAGCGTGTTCCGCCCATACGGTGATGGCGCGCCGCTCATACTCATCTATTGTTAGAGCAGCCGGCAACATAGAACAAAAGCTTGTTGTGGATATCTAAACCAAGCGCATTTTATGACTAAAAGAAGTTTCAAATGAACAAACGATATGAAGACTTAAGAAACATCTGAAAACAATAGCGTTAGATAAGGAAAATTTAATTACCTTTGATCAGCTGGACCATCTTGTCGATAAGTTCTCCAAGGTAAATTGGAAGCTGTATATTGACAAAAGCTGCAAGAATAGCACTCTAAAACATATGCCATTGATAACTTCCCATCATTTCTGCTAACATAATTTGAATTAAAAACAATAGAATTATAACTAACCACAACAGCAGCTAAGAAGTAAACCCAGTAAGGACGAATAAGTGACCAGATATCGTAGAGCGAAAGTGCAGGTTCCACAGTGCTCAGATACCCGGTGCTCAAATGGTCCGCCCGTCTGCTTAGCTCCACTTTACTTCTACATTCTGTGATTCTGAAAATAATCTACATTTGCTTTGAAACTGCATAGGTCTCACATGTACCTCAAAAATGGAATGCACCATGCACTAAGACACACTCCAGAAAGGCGCCCCACTTTCAAAAAAGACGATGGAGAAGCCGCTCGCGATCTCCATATTTTGATAGCATTTCTCACACTCGTAGACCTAAAGCTATAAATAAGATTTTATTAGCAATAAGAATGCAGTAAAGGCGCAAACCTGATCGCTTTTAAAATGTAGGACTTTTGCGCTAAAAGACATACTTGAGAAGTTGCAAACTTAGAGACCACCATGCTGAACGGCGACGATTGGTTTTTACCCCAGCTGAACAGGACTGATTTTAATGGACGAAGTTTATTTGAAAGAATGAGATTGAGACAGCACGAAAGGAAGATGCACTGAATATTTATAATAGTTGTGAATAAGGTATATAATACCGAGTAGATATTTGCGAAGGCGAAAAAGTGTCGTGAAGTGAGTGTTGTTTGTGGTTTTACAGATCAGCGGCAGTGTCAGAAATCTCTCAGTTCTGATGGAACAACTGCGGGTTTTTCGAGACCGCCTCAGGTTAGTCTTGATTGTTTTGACGTTATTGCTGTTTCCTAGTTCAGGCATGGTGGTTTTTGAGCTTGCCCAAGAGGGTTGTTCTTCTAAAGAACAGCTGATCATTAAAAGCATAGACTTTTGCAGCAAATTTTAGAACTGAATTAAGGAGGAGGAATTTCATGTTTTTTCTCACACTATTTCTGGCGCCATTATGCTAGCGTTTTTTATTCGTTAATGATTAAAGTACAGAGGTATTTTATATGAGAACAAGCTTTCAGGCTCATCCAAAATGTTGGTGAAAAAAAGTCAATTTTCATACCTTGTCATAATATTGACCTCAAGCTTAGCCATCTCTGATTTGTACATGAAAAGATGTTGACATGATATCACTTTTGCGCAATGAGTGAGAAAAATAACACTGTGCTACATCCACGCTTGCTGTGCCGCTTTCATCATCGATTTGTAGTAGACATTGTCAAACATTATGGAGCTGTAAGCAATATTTAAGGAGTGTCTTGAATATTACTTATAACTCCGTAACGTTTGACAATGTCTCAAGGCAATATTTACATTTTTTATCTTTTACAAGTTATTTCTTCTCATTATCGTAATTCTCGTTCGATATTTTGATCTCGCAAAACTTATCTAATTGTTTGCTTCACCACTTGCCGACTGTTGGGTCAGTTGCAATCACTCTCATCAAGCTAGGCTGCTTGTTTTCATACACATCAAGTTCAGTATGTCGCGGACTTCGCGGCCAATCCGCCCGCGAGACCCACGTGACGTTGGAAAGTTTGCTATAGATCTTGCCGTAGGTGGTGCATCAGCAGCGGTATCGAAAACCGCTGTCGCTCCAGTGGAAAGGGTCAAACTACTGCTTCAGGCAAGAATTTTTTGCCATGTGCTATTTTCCATTTAAAGATCGTTCCACTATCACAGTCTGCCTCCTCACTGAAAAATATGCTAGTGTTTGGTCATACTTTAGAGTAAGCGGTGTAATTTTATTACCGAACGCTCCAAAACAGGTTGTTTTTGCTTAATTTATTGAGCTATAGGAGCTGCAAAACAAATCGAGGCTTTAGCGTAAAATTCTAATATTGAACATAGCTTTATGATTCGCAAGCTGGCGAGAACTGCATTAAGAGGAAATTTTTTCTGCAGAGTTCATTTTTCGAAAATGTATGCTTACCTCAAAAAAGTGGTTCAATATATTTTTTTCCGTTTAATACGCGAACACTTCGATGAAATGTAACAGTTGAATGGTTGACTTATATATCTTGATGGTCAGCACTTGAAGAAGGCCTGCA